TAAACATTTATCACAGTCATTAACAACACTAATGGTGGGCTTTCTTTAAGAATTCAATTGCACATCTTTCAAGTCCAAAATTTGCTCCAAATCCGGCGCTACATGGCCATTATGCTTCACAGATTTTAACCACTCAACATACCCCGGTACAATGCCAGTCTCTGCTGCACCCTTCACCAAGCATTGCAAATAAGTTTTCGAAGGTTGGCGGCTAAGTGGCAGCTTATCGGTGCTGGAGAAATCGTTCAACGGTATTTTCGGTTGATCGGCCAGTAGATAAGCACGTGCAATGGCTACCGTATTATTCGACAGCATTACGGGCAAGCTGGCGGCATAGTAAATACCCTCGTGAACGCCTTCCTGGCTGTAAGGAAAAACAGTAAAAGTTAGTTTTATTGCTTAGTTAATAAAAATTAATTTTTTTAATTGATTTAAAATATGATTTAGAAAAATTAAAAAATTGTAAAGAAAATTCCGTTCCTATTTACTAATTTCAAAAATTAATTTCTTAAAAAATATAATTAAATAATTAACTTTTTATAATATTTTTAAAAAGATTTAGTTTTTTAATTCAAAAATATATATTTTTTTTTAAATTGAAATATATTGTTTTTTTTAATAATAATATTGTATTTAATTTTTGTGTTGTTAATTTTAACAAAAACAGCACATATTTTCTACTCACTCATCAATATCATCCAAATTGCTTAGTGATATCTCCCACAATGTGCCATAAACGTAAGCGCCAGGGGTAGGCACAATAGTCGCTGGTGCACCACCCCAACGTTCCGTGTAGGTATTAAAATCCAACCGGTAATCCTTCAATATGCCCATACCGATTTTCACCGCGGTCGGATTTTGTATATGTATGCGTTTAGTCAACATATTACTACCATAACCGAAGTAGATGAACTTATCTCCCACGCGCTCGGGTAAATCGGTTGGTATAACGTAAGCACTCGCGCAGGACCATAATGATAATGAAAATATTAGGAGTAAACTATAGTAAAGCATTTCTTTAGGTTTTAAGTTTTCAAACTACTACAGTATAGCACAATTTATTTAGGTAAATATTTTGACTGCTTTACGTCTACACACTTGGTATGTCTAATTTCGACTGTCAACACTTGAGTGACTTACAGCCGTAGGTAGCTTCGGTATAGCGATTGAAATTAATGCTAAACTTGTAGATACATATGTACGATGTCGTTGCTTTTTTTTTTTGCTTCTTTTTCATCTTTTATTTTATTCTACTTTTTTGTCATCTTGTATTTTATAATTAATATAAGTTCGACTTAGA